AACATTATTAAAAAAATTTAACTTATCATAAATTTCTTAAACCCTATTTTGTTAAACCATAACTCTCATTTCTGATTTCACAATTTAAAACCCTAACCCTAATTGAAAAATGATTGCACATTCATCAATTCAAAACCCTAACCGTAATTGAAAAACGATTTCACATTCATCAGTTCAACATCCTAATTCAAAACCAAAACCCTCATTTCTGATTTCACATTCAATAGAAAACCATAACCCTCATTTTCTCATTTCAAACATAATATCTAAATTTTTCTAAATAGATTGAACATTCAACATATGTCACATTGAACAGAAATCTGATTTCACATTCAACAGATTTCACAATTATGAACATATTTAAGATAAATATAAACCATTCAACATTCACATTCAACAGATTTCTAAACAGATTTCACAAATATAAACCATAATCCTTATTTAAGATTTAAGATTTCACATTCAACAGATTTCTAAACTATTTCACAAATATAAACCCTAACCCTTATTTAAGATTTAAGATTTCACATTCAACAGATTTCTAAACAGATTTCACAAATATAAACCCTAACCCTAATTTATTATTTCTGATTTGACAACATTTTCACATTCATGAACCCTATTCTACCAACATTACACGAAATATCTAAATAATGAATCTAACAAAAAACACCAAAGTTGGCCAAAAGTGCCCGAAATTGTAAAATTATTGGGTATGGTATGGTTTAATTTTAAAATGTCCAATTGCCAAAAATTGTAAAATGTCCAAATGCCCAAAATTGGCTTTCATTTTTTAAGTTTAATTGGGTATGGTTTAAAAAAAATTGTAATGAAATTAAATTATTAAAATTATTCAACCAATTTGACCCAAATCATTTAGGATTTTATTTTCTCTACGTTTTGACATAATTTGTTCCTAAAAAAAATATATAACATTATCAAAACAATTTAACTTATTATAAATTTCTTAAACCCTAATTTTTGAAACCATAACCCTCATTTTTTATTTCACAATTTAAAACCCTAACCCTAATTGAAAAATGATTTCACATTTATCAATTCAAAACCCTAATTCAAAACCAAAACTCTCATTTCTCATTTCACATTCAATTGAAAACCATAACCCTCATTTTCTCATTTGAAACATAATATTTAAATTTTTCTAAACTTCAGGTTCATTCAACGGATTTCACATTCAACAGATGCCATAAATGTAATCCTAATTTCTCAAATTTCACATATACATTAACCAGATTAAGAGAGTATTTTTAAATCAGATTAGGGTTTTAACCATAGAACGATTATGGCATTTTCACAATTCATTTAGGATGAATTTAGAGTATTTTTATGGCATATGTAACAAAAATCTGATTCAATTCGAAGTTAATGTTAAATGTTAGATTTAACCATAGAACGATTTAGAACTATATTCATGAACCCTATTCTACCAACATTATACCCACTTTCACAACCACAAAAAACACAATAAAGTAGATCAAGAGAGAGAGACAAAAGGCATACCAACGAGAGAGAGGACAAAGAGCAGAAAGGGAGCTCGTGCACAGCGAGAGAGAGAGCAATAAGAGCAAGAGAGAGAGAGCAGGAGTGAACTGTGTGTATAAGAAGCGTGAATGCAAATGACGAGGCTGGGGAGGTTTTATAGCAGTTCTAAACTCGTGGTTACAAACCACGAGTTCACTTAAAAAAATTGTATAAAAATCGTGGTTCGAAAGAGCGAGTTCAGAAGAAATATATTTTTTGATAAAATCGTGGTTAGGAAAAGCGAGTTCAGAAATAAAATATTTTTTGATAAAATCGTGGTTAGAAACAGCGAGTTTAGAAGAAATTTTTTTTTGATTAAAATCGTGGTTTGGAATAGCGAGTTCAAAATTAATTAAAAGCGTGTTTTGTAATCACGATTTTAAGATTTCCCAACTTCCACGCGAGAGAGGCGTACATGTGTTGAAATCGTGCTTCACAACCACGATTTAGCTTATTTTGGAAAATCTTTCAAAACTAGCCTTAGTTTGAAAATTAATTTACTATTTTGGCTTATTTAGGGAAATGGCCCTTATTCTTTATGATAATATGATGGATGAAAAAGACGAAATATTAATTATTTAAGTTAGCTGATTGAACATGAATGGGCTCACTCACTCATGAAAATTCAATGCTCACCTGAGAAGGCAAAGGCTTGGGAAAGTCGGCAATCACACCAAAAGCCACAATAATCAGGGGTTAGATTAGAAGAGGTGACTACCATAACATAACGTGTCTTGATTGATTTGGTCGAATTGAATTCCACACTCCACAACAGAGTTCGAAATCAAAAATAAGAATTGCTCCATTGTCGAAGCTCCATTGTTAAAAAGGGGTAAAATGCTTTGATTCTTATCCTTTTTAGGTAGTTTGATTTGAATCCCTAATATATATGTATATATATATAATACATGTTATGTTTGTGAACATTGTGCTCAATATGTACATGTAATAATATGTATCTGTATAAGGAACTGAACATTCTATTCTATGCTGTATTTGCAATGTTTGTTCCTCCTTTGTATAATCTGATGTAGATTCAGAGCAGTGAATTCTTTTATGCATATTATTGCAAGCAAAATATGATAAATCCATCTACATGGTATTTGATGAGAATAATCAAAAATCATAATTCATCTGTTTGAAATGCTTAGTGATTGCTTTATGTTCCCTTTGCCTAACAATGTCTAGGTGTCTTGGAATCTGTTATTCAGAGAAATTAATCACTTCCAGACGTGCTAGTTGTACAATCCCTCCTTACCTATAATGTTTATTTGATCATAACAGGTGTAATCAGAAAATTATTATACAAGCCAAACGCGATTAATAATGGATCAGATTAGCATTCAGAAAGGAAGAATTGTGACCCTAGAAGAAGGTATGGTATATTTCTGATTGCTATTTCTCTCTCTCTCTCTGTCTCTGATTTTATCTGTTGCTTCCATTCAAAGGAAGCAGCTAGAGAAAGGCCATACATATAAATCTTATCCTAAGTGAGCATGTTGTGATATCTTTTGATCAAATCAAACATGTGTACAAAGATGTTAATAAGTGATGCACAAGGTAGAGGTCCACTATTCGACTCCAGATCCTCTCCTTGCCTTCCTACTTGCAACGGTGGAGATTCACTCTAATTTTTTTTTTTTTTTAAATAGCCAGATCTGAACCGTTGAATCATCTTAGGGTACATCTCTAACGTCACAAGTTAGGAGGTAAGGAGAGAGAGCAATGAGAGGATCCTAATTCCCACTATTCGGCTCACACACAATATCTTTCCACCATGTGGAGGCTTAATTTATATTTATAATTTTATAAATTAAAGTCTTTAGTATTTAATATTTATTTTCTTCTTGTTATTAATTTTTCTATTTTATTAAGGTTAACCTATATATAATAGGCTTTGGTATTATATTAGGCAGCCTTCAATTAATGAAATTGACAGTTGTTTAAGGTTGCGACCTTTGTGTGATTAGGATTGTGGCCCTTGCGTGCTTCTCTTCCTGATTCTCTCTCCTATTCTTTCTCTCTGTTCTAATTCAGGGAGAAGTTTAAGTGTCACAATCCCAACCCGTCCCAAACAGGATGGCGTTGTGACCGGCCAGTAGTCATAGACTATCAAGGGCCTAACTTTCAAAACAAGTTGGAGTCTTCGGATAATTGGGGCAATTTTTTTTATATTTTTGAGTGCGGAAGCCATTATTTGTTTATATTGAGTCCATTCGAAACATCCACTCAGAGCAGTGCATAACTACATGAAATGAAAGCATTCATTCCTCTTGGATCGTTATCTTACATTATTACATAGTCTAAATGACAAGGTAAAATAAGCACATATGACAAGGCTTTACAAATCTAGCACAACCATACAAGACCAGTTTCTATTCAAACTTCTCTTCGTAATCCAACTCTTCATCACCTACATATATTTAAGAGAAAGGGGTGAGCCATTACCCAGTGAATAATATTACAATTTAGTGGTAAATGAATGAATTTCAATCTCATTTGCAAAGCATAATATCATATCATATTTTCAAAAGCATTCGAACATTTCTCATCATAATATTTCATAATCAAAACATGATAGCACGGTACATCCATTAGGGCGAAGCGAAGGAATAACCGGTTTGATCACTGATTAAACAACCCACTCTCAAGTGGCGAAGGAGATCTCAATAATGGCCATGGTATATTTAACTGTCCCCCAATAGTTAGGACTATCTAAAGGATGCCACAATAGATTTATCAAAATATAGGATATTCATTCATTCGGAAACAAAATAAGGATTTCACAAAATATGATATATCATCGAGTTTACAAAAAAAATTTCAAACATAACTTTACAATAATATTATTCACACATGGCTTGCAAACAATGAGGTTTTCCCCCCTCCGAGTACTTGACCTACACAAAGCATAAGCAAGACGTTGAAAGCACTTAAACTAACAAGCTTCTAAATTCATTTCAGGTGTTCTAACTTAATTTTGTGTTTCTTAATATTTTCTTAGATTATCCAAGACTTTTCTAAGCCTAATTCAAATCTAAATCAAGTGTCAAACATGTATCAAATGTGTGGCTAGAAGCACCCTACGTGATTAAGGCCTGAAGAATGTTGAAGTGTGTCAAAGACGTAAGTTGAAGGGCCCTAAGTATTCCACATCAGTTTCATATACTATGCATTGAAAAATATCATGTTTAGGTATTTAAGGTTTAAGGAAATAGGAAGAAATGAAAAGAACTACGTTATGAGAGGAATTAGCATGAAATGGTTAGGAAGAAAGTAAGCAGCCTTCACTAATTTAAACATATCTTTTTGTATATTTGGAATTTGGATGTGAGACTACCACCATTGAAAACTAAACTTCCGGGACTTGAATTTAGAATCAAGAATCACGTAAAACCGAGTTTGGGTGAGAGATATACCCATTTGAAGTTGCGCTGAAACAGAGGTTATGCACGTGCAGGACAAGGTGCGGGAAGGTTAGGGCATGTGCGGGAAATCTGGCCGCACGTGTGGTTATTTCAAAATGCAAAATGGGTTCTGGAGGGTTGGGCCGCATGTGCGGGAAATCTAGGGCACGTGCGGGAAATTCTTGGTTGGATGGGCTGAAGTTGTTCTTCATGTTCTTGAGGTTCCTAACTCCAATTTCTTCACCTAAAAGCCTCAAAACATGATGCATAATGTTCCAAAACATGAAAGTATGATACAAGATTCATGAAAACTCAATTGTATGCAAGGATTTCAAGATTAAACTAACAAAAAAATAAAATTTTATTCAAGAGCTCTTTAATTTTTTTTTCTCTCTTCCACTTTCTTTCATTTCTTCATTTTCATTCGTTTAAAACAAGATTTTAAGGCTTCAAAACATGAATAAATGATGTGGGTTTTGTAGGAAAACATTCATATGCAATGAATTTAAAGTTTACACCAATCAAAACGTGATTTTCTTGCAAATTTTTTGAACCCTTCCTATTTCTCAAACTCTTTCCTATTTTCCTCAATTTCAATCTCTCAAAACTTAGTTTAGATGATCTTCTAGCTAGATTATAGCAACAATACAAGAAAGAGGGTTGAATTTCTTACCTATTAATGATTTTCCTTGAATTTCTAGGCTTCGAATTGAAGCTCCTTTGATTTTTCGTCGATTTCCTCTCTTTTTCCCTTGTTTTTTTCTTCTCCTTTGTCTCCTTTGTTCTTCTTTCTTCTCCTTTTGTTTTGTGCTGGAAATTGTGTTCATGTATATAATATGATAGTGGTGTTGGTGGTAGATAGTGACATGTATAGAATATGATAGTGGTGTTGGTGGTAGATAGTGGTATGTATAGAATATGATAGTGGTGTTGGTGGTAGATAGTGGTGTTGGTGGTAGATAGTGGTATGTATAGAATATGATAGTGATGTTGGTGGTAGATAGTGGCATGTATAGAATATGATAGTGGTGTTGGTGGTAGAGAGTGGCATGTATATAATATGATAGTAATCATGATAGTGGTAGATAGTGGTAATATATATATGAGTGGCATATAATGGGTTAGTTGATGATGTTGTAAATATCTGCCTATTAATAAAGGAGTGTCATTTGGTCTTGTAAGATAAGAAGTTTTGAATATAATAGAAATATATTCCTTCTTCCGTCATATTTCGGCAGTTCTATCTTTCTTCATATTTTCCTAAGGTTGGTATCAGGGCAAACAAAAAACACAGAGCGCCTAAAACCAGTCATAGCCATGTCGGAAGTCACAGTGCCGAAACCACTGTCAACCCCTGGCCCGCTGCCATTACCGGTGAAAACGTGCCACTCTCACATCTGTCGCAAATCACCACCATCCGCCTAAGATTGGTGATAATTTCTCGCTGGTCACAATCTGTCCGGATGTATATTCCGTGGGCAAGGAAAGTCGGTTTTAACATCACTGGTGAAAGAAGGCTGCCTGCTGTTAATGATCCGCTGTTCGACACACACCAAAACCCCGAAAAAAGAGAGGGATTTTGGGTTTGGGGAGTCCCCCCCGTAATTAAAATTGACTTGGTTCCAACTCTTTTTGCATACTTTCCTGTTCACTTTGCCAAGGTCCCCCTCTGCTTTGCAAATCCCCGGCGGTAGGCTCTGAACACCTCCTCTTCAAGAATCACCATTGACCGAAAATGCATTTTTAAAATGTCTCAGTTATGTAGAGGCCAATCTGAATTTTACTGCACAAGATAACATAACTCTGATGGAATTTATTTCTAGCAAACAGGAGCAATAAACGTTCTCCTGAATAGTCCTGATCCCAATAAGTTTGAGTGAAGCCTTTAGCCCACCGTCTCCCCTGTATCTTCTCAACCTTCCATCTGCGTATACCATTTTACTCGTAAACACCCATATACACCCAAACTGTTTTCTTTCTTTTGGGTAGATCAACTATCTCCCAAGTACCACTTTTCCTTAAAGCATTCATCTCCTCCATGACTGCGTAAATTCCAATTCGGTCATCCAATCTTCTTGTAATATTCCCTTGACAAACAAGTGATGAAAATCCTAATGTGAAAAGCTCTATGGTTTTTTAGACAGTCTTTGATAGGAGAGGTAATTGCAAATAGGAGTTTTAAAATCAATTTCGGACACCTTTCTAATTTGCTATAGGTAACATCAATGGTCGGAAATAGAAGGCATAGGATTACCTAAAATTTTCGAGCCAGAACTCGGGTGGACATTCCGGTCATTAGGATGGACATCGGGTCATCATTCTCAGATATGAAAATCCGGCTTCCTAGTATAAACCTGAACTCAGGATTTACGATGCATTTTGTATATTCTCCCACTAAACCAAGAATCTTCTTTTGACTAGGCACCATAGAACTTGGTTCTCCTACGTGAATCATTATCAGACAGATGTGTTTCGTGTCTTAGGAATAAATGACATTGGGGCAGCGGAATTAGAAATATCCCAAAAACAGTCTTCTAACTTCCACTTGTCTCCCCCTGAAGAGAAGTGTTTGGGAAAATAGGTTTTGTTTCCACAAATGACAGATCCATACTCCAGACATCTAGTGCTTGTTGAATAGATAAATTCTTGTTTTGAGGATCGAAGCACTATATACCCCTTTTTGTTTGAGGAATAACTCAAAAAAAAACACATTTTAATAGGCACGGGTCAAATGTTTTGAACGAAATTGACTGGGAACATAACATAGCATACATCAAACTTGGCTGTTAAAATCAGAAAACAACCTCGTGTCAGGAAAAAAAGTTTGAGACAATCAAAAAGTGTTTTGTATGTTAAACACCTTTGTAGCATCCTGTTGTATTCAATAAGGCTTGTAAATTGCTTTCACCTCCATAAATATTTAGGAAAACATGCATGTAAAAATTAAGCACGTGGCTACTCAAGTAGAT